GAATGCTCCAGGTTTTTTGAGGGTGAAAGAAGTTAAATGTCAGCAAAACCTACTGCCAAAAAAAAAAACTAAATACGATGATTGCATAAATATTCACCTCACTTTGCCAAACCTAATTTAGGTAAGGTGCATATGGTCAACAACAATAGCCAGCAGCCATATCACTCTGCAACTCACAACTGGCATTCCACTAAAGCTAAGCAGGTGTGAGCCTGGTCAGTACCTGGATGGGACACCTCCTGGGATAAAAAACTAAGGTTGCTCCTGGAAGAGGTGTTAGTGGGGCCAGCAGGGGGCGTTCACCCTGTGGTCCATGTGGGTCCTAATGCCCCAGTATAGTGAAGGGGACACTATACTGTAAACAGGCGCCGTCCTTCAGATGAGACGTAAACCGAGGTCCTGACTCTCTGTGGTCATTAAAAATCCCAGGGTGTTTCTCGAAAAAGAGTAGGGGTGTAACCCCGGCGTCCTGGCCAAATTTCCCATTGGCCTTTACCAATCATGGCTTCCTAATAATCCCTATCTATGAATTGGCTTCATTGCTCTCCTCCCTGTTTGGTGAGCGTTGTGGCGCACTATGGCTGCAGTCACATCATCAAGGTGGATGCTGCACATTGGTGGTGGAGGGGAGTCCCCATTACCTGTAAAGCGCTTTTGAGTGGAGTGTCCAGAAAAGTGCTATATAATTGTAAGCAATTATTAATTATTATTAATAACTTTGACAAGAAGAGATAGAGTTGAATAGCTGTGATTTCAGAAAATATTGTGGTGGCAACATTATATTATTGGGCTCCTTTGCTTCAGTAGGGACTAGTATTAGTATGTCATTTCACATGAAATAAATATGAACATGAAATAAAAGAGGCCATTTGGCCATTAGGCTAGTTTTTAGGTGCTAATTGTTTTGAGGATCTCATTCAGTCAAATAGAAAGTAGAATTGTGCTTCAACAGCTTAGTTTATTTCAGACTTTGGCAAAAAAAGTGTCTCCTGTTCGTGCATTTAAATGTCACTTTGTTTTGACTTGTGTCCGTTGGTTTGTGTATCATTGTTGGTTCTGAATATGTCAACTGGTTTGAATTTGTCCTCTAATGCTTTTTTTGTTGTTCTTTTTATTTTATTTTGTATTTCATCATTGATACTGTACACTGTAGAAAACATTTTTATTTTTCCCTCATTGCAGTCCTTTTATTGCCATACCTATCATTTTCACTTGTTAGTTTTCTTACTTAAATACACCTTTTATTTTTATCTACATTTTCATTAATGACACAGTGAAATATATACAGTATATACTTTTAAGTTAATAAATTCCTATTGAATATTTAAAAAAAATTTGGTCTAACGTTAGAGTTGGAGTGACTTGTAGAGCATTTGGTAGGTATGTATGCATGATATATTAAAACTTAATGGATGGTGAACATACCCCCATTTATTGATAAGGTTATTGTAAAATAAATAAGACCTTTTTATTTCAGAGACCTATGGAGACAGATTTGGTACCAGCATGTGGGACAGTACCATCACCTCTGAACAGACAAAGAAATACTATCGAAATTGTTTGTGGCTTATCTAGTCTGTAGCTTGGCCAATAACTGGCTGCTCCATGCAAGTAATTACACGACCCAATTATCAATAGAGTTAAATATCAATTCTGAAGGCAGTTGCCAGGTAGATTGCGTTGTCTCAAGAGTAGTTTAAAAGATCGGGTCCTGGTGAAAACTTGAAATGATTGTGTAATTTTAAAAACCTTACAAGAATAAGGAGCACCAGGCTTTAAAAGTGTAGTGCCTCACACAGAAAAGCGATTGTTCCTCCAAGGCCATAGAATTAGCAAAATATTATGATTAGGATTAAATACTTTGAAAGCTATATGCAATTCATTTAAGCTTTTTCAGATATACAATCTTTGCATTTATTTCTGTTCCTTTGATTGCTGATTTTAAGTCAATGGAAGTAAATATGTTTTTGTGTATTATTATACTTAATCTCACTGTAAGAAAAAGTAAATACTTTTCTTTCTGTGTGGATTTTGCTGCTGTTTATAAAAATATCTCCTTACAAAATATCCAAAATATGGAATTTAAAAAGTTTTTTAAACAAAACATATGATCATTTCTTTTTTTTCAATGGAACTTGCAAAATTTAGTGTAATTAATTCGATTTTGTTGATTTTATTTTTAAAATGTGGTTTAGTCATCATTTATTTCAAATAAAACCCCATTCCTGAAATGAAATATATTACATTTAAATCAAATTCAACATTTTCTGTCTCACTGAACATCTTTTCTGACTATTTAACTTTATTTTCTTAGTATTAGAGTCACCTTCACCAAGCAAAAAGTAATATACTGTATTCTTAGTCTCGTAGCAGCCTTTTCAATCTAGTTTCCCAAACATTTTGAATGCTGCCAGTGTCACAAACCAGTCTTTCATGTGTTTTCACAAAAAGCTTCATTCATAATAAAACCTCTAAATACCCTTAACATTATTTGCTACATACTGTATAAGCAGCATAAATGTGATTCGTTGTTGTATTTTAAAATACCAATAGCTTAACAGCTTTTGGGGTGTTATTGTCTGTGATACATTATAAAAAAATAGTTTTTTTCCTGTGGCTTCATGTGATCAAGTCTGTGGTTATTCTTTAGTGTGCAGATGTTAACAGGAGTTAATGTTTAAACCCTGCCATGTATTACTTGGAGCCATGACTCCAAACTCCAATGTACAGAATTTTATGTAAACAGTGTCTGAGCTTGCCTTTTTTAAAGCTCCTTGCCTGAGTCATATATACCTGTAAATATGGCAAAAAAAGCATTATATATTGTCCCAAGGGAACTATATAAAGTTGGGGTTATTTACATGAGAATGCCGAAAGACTAGATAGTCATTGTTTATTTCAAATATTACTTATATATTATATAAGTAGAATATACTTGTTCAATATTTGTATAGGGTTTTACTCATATGGCTCCTGTCTCAGGAAGTGGCGAAATAAATATAATTCCTAGATGAAACGCATAACTTTTTCACACATTTAGCTATGCAAATTGATACCCATGTCTGTTTTTTGAGATACTCCAGGCTGCCATGATAAATGGCTTCAAAAGCTGACTGTGAGTGTTAGAAAATATTACTGGCTTTGTTATTCTGAAATTGAACAATAACAGACTGATTTTATTGTGACATCGGCCTTGACATACAGTATAAGCCTTTACCATACACATCTAAAATGTAAATGGTGTTGAAAATCTAGAGATTACCACAGTAGCCTTTGTAGGATTTGTTGTGCTATTTGCTGACTTTTTGCAGAAACACATGAGCTATTTATGTGTAAATACAGCAGTTGGCTTACACAACACGGCAGTTTATGGCTTCCTTAAACTGACATGTGCTAAGTGTGAATGCTGAACAATCAATGCCCAGAGTCTGGCATTAAGAAGGTTGTTATTACCCAAATCTTTATTTAGAATACAAAATCCCTATGCATAAATTTCATGCCAACAATCTTGAAACATCTAGTATCGAGATTAAGTATCTGGCCTGAGAGCTTAAGAGAGCAATACTCAGCATAATTTCAATTTCATTTTAGCCACATGAAACAATATTGCTTTGGCAATCTTTTCAACCTTTTCAATCTAGTCTCCCAAACATTTTGAATGCTGCCAGTGTCACAGACCCTTAACATTATTTGCTACATACTGTATAAGCAGCATAAATGTGATTAATTGTTGTATTTTAAAATACCAATGGCTAAACAGCTTTTGGAACGTTTTTGCCTTTATTTGAGTCTCTATGATACATTATAAAAGTTTTTTCATGTGGCTTCAAGTCTGTGGTTATTCTTTAGTGAGTGGATGTTAAGAGGAGTTAAAGTTTAAACCCTGCCATGTATTACTTGCAGCCATGACTCCAAACTCCCATATAAATATGGAAAACAAAGCATTATACTGTATATTGTGAAGATTTTGCTTCAGAGATTCTAAAAGAGGGCAGCATGGTGAGATAGTATTAGTTAGCCTCACAATGCTGGGGCCCTGGGTTCAATTCTTCACCTGGGATGCTATAAGCATGGAGTTTGTATGTGTGGGTTTCCTCCGGGTTCCACATACTGGTGGGTTAATTGGCAACAGGTGTGAGTTTGTGTTTATCTGTATGTGGCCTGCGATGGAACTGGGAGACAATTTTGTTTCAGTGTAAACTTATATTCTTGGGTAATCTGGGATTTAATTCATTTAAAGAAATGTAAAAACCTGCCATTAAATTAATAATGCCATTAACATTAAATAGGGTTCGAAAACACACTTTAAAACATGATAGCAAAGAAGCCTGCCATTGAATTAGTGTGCCTGAATAATTAGAAAACCATTTGTTTCATGTCCAGCCATTCAGCCTAATTATTAGCCTCTTGGTTAATAATTTATTTGGCTGATGATATCAAAACTGCTAAAGTTTGCATCTATTTTATACAGCTTGGCATTTTACTGAGTGAAATGTATTGCTTAAGAGCAAATCTTATTAAGGGTAATACCTTCTTAAGTGTACAACAGCAATGGTTCCTCTCTGGTGTGAATATTTTTAATAATAGCATCTTAATTTCGGGAATAACTATAAAGCATACTCTTCTTATATGGTGATGTATACAGTATGTTATATAAAAACATAAACCATAAAATAGTTTTATTTTTTCAAATGTTACTTCTTGTGTATTTCATCCATCTTCTTTAACTTCTCTTGAGGTTATATTGTCTAAGGGATGAAATCTTTTTAATCTGTTTCATTATATTATCTCGTATTCTCTCGTACCCACTGTTGTGTCAGGAAATTGTGAAAATGTTACAGCCTGTACACACTGTGGCTTGGTGTTCTTGCTGTATTTGATAACTACAGAGGAGGATTGTTTTTGAAAATAAAAAGCTTCTTAATATGTTTGAAAATATTACTCATGTAAATTGGGAGGTGCATTCTTCTTTATCTGGTTTTATTGTTCTTTGTTTGCAGGAGCTGTAGATGTGGCCTTTCGCAGTCCCTTTGCATGCTGGTTTAGCTCTATGCTGTACTGTTTTGGTGGAGCAATACTTTCAGGCGTGCTTCTCGCAGAGCCTACTTTAGCACCCTTCTCAAACACCAATAATGTTGTACTGGCTACAGTTATATGGTAAGTTTTGAGTTTTGTGTTTCTTTTTACAGGACATTTTAATGGTTCATTCTCTTGTACATATGATTTTTTTACCTGCTTTGGAAGAGAATGTTCAGTTATACTTGTTGCCTTTTTGTTTTTTTAAACAGACGTACTTTTTACATATAATTGCATCATGTCTTTAAAAAAGTGAGTGATCAATTATTGAAGGTTTGTCTCTAGTTTAATATTTATGCTTACCTTTTATTTATATAAATTTAAGATGGAAATAATATTACATAAAACCTTTAATAAATCCTAGATTTAGGATTTGGGTGCTTTGGGTCATTATATTTTCCACTTAAAAATCTCTAATGAGGGAGTCAAATTCAGTACTACTCTTGGGGGAGACTATGTACTGTATAACAGGAGAAAAAAATTTAGGAAAGTTGTGTGCATCGTGGGCCCACCTGTATTACACCCTGCCCCATGTAGTGTTGAACTTGTTAATGTAGAAATACATAGTGGTGGAATATTTATTGATATTTCTCGTCAGGACTTGGTGCACAAAACTGTGGTGTTTTAATTAAACACAGTGTGTTTTACACAAATTCATCATGTGGTGTCTAGCTTGAGACAATTTCCATTTTTTTACTGCATGTTTTTATATTTTATTGTATGTTGTAAAAATAAAACCTTTCCTTTTTCAACTTTAGTAATTTTCTATATAACTGCTTTAATATAAGTACTGTCATGCAGTGATGGGGTGATTTTTAGAACTTTACTCCATAGGAAAAAATAGCTCAAATAACTGGCTTCACGTTAGTGGGTGTTTGCCAGTTTCGCATGGCGCTCACCTTATCTTTTTCAGTGGCCACACCAGCTCCACTCATATGGTGACCCAGGAAAAAGGTCTCGCAGAGCAGCAGGTGAACATGGCATGCGCTGTGGCTGTTAGGTTCATTGGGGAGCTTCCCAGCAACTTGAGCCTGGAAGCTGCTGTCATCTTCAGGACCAGGTGGAGGGTGTAGAGAGCATCATCAAACAAGCACCCATGGATCAGTAGATCATCAAGGTAGACTAAACACTAGGTGAAGCCGTGTCAGTGCCAGGACCCCCTCCATCAGGCATTCGAAGGTGGCTGGTGCATTGCATAGGCCGAACGGCATGACGTTGAATTGCTACAGTCCCCTGAGAGTGGAGAAAGCTGTTTTGGCATCAGCTCCACCTGCCAGTAGCCACTTTTCAGATCAAAGGAGGAGAACCAAGACGACCCAGACAACAGATCCAAGGACTCATCAATTCAAGGCTTGATCACAGTGTCCAGCTTTCGATAGTCCATACAGAACATCCAACTGCCATCTTTCTTAGGAGCCAGCACTACTGGCAACTTCCATGGACTGTCAGACAGTTCTATGATCACAGCCTCTTGCATCTCATTCATGGCACGCTCTGCAGTTGCTCGCTTTGCTGGCATCAGGTGGCGAGGTCTCAGTCGGATAAGCTCCCACACCTGCTTACTTTGCTCCAGACTCAAACCCTCAGTGTTCTTTTCTCCCAGTGATGGCTTTCTTTATTGAACTGGATTCAGTCAGCAACCTGGGGGGCCTTACCCAACTGGTCACCGGGGTTCCGCGTCTTCTTCACTGCCTGTGCTCAGGGCTGGCAGCTCCATCTCTTGCAGCCTGGGGTGCAGGGAGATGATGGTCTGTGGTGCTCAGCTTGGGTGAAGCTGGTACAGGTGTAAGGTCTTGGGTAGTCCCATCAAGGTGAAGGGTGATGAGAGGTCCTCCTTGAAATTTGGTTGGCAGCAGACGGAACTGACTGGAACACCACATCCAGTCCCGGGTCCTTGGGGCAGTTTGGACTGGTGAGTGCATGGGTGTCTGTACCGACTGGATTCCAGCAATAGTGCAGTGCATTCACTAAATACCTCCTCCTCTTCGCCTGCCTTCTGGAGTGCTGCTGCCAGACCCACTGGGGTGTTCAAACACACTTGATGTCTCAAATGATCAGGAGTCAGGCTGTATATAAATGGGTGGTTTACTAACTCTTCCTGCGCTTCTTTAGGGAAACGAGGATAACCTCTTAGGATGAGGTAATGGAGGTCAGCTGCAAAAACACCTACTCTCTTCCCTGGTTGACAAACACGGCTTTCTAGCTGCTCCTGGATCATCAACACAGGAGATGTGCCTTCAAACTACTGGTCCAATGCCGCCTGATAATCCGTGATCTCTTTGGGTGACAAATCTAGGAGCCCCTGGGTCTCCTTCTATGCCTTCCTATGCTTGTCTTAGTAATGACCCTCAGCTATGCTTTGGTTTCAACCATCACTCGAGAGCCCTGGGGTCACGGTTTGCTTCCCTGCCCCTACATTAAAGATTGGTGCTTCATTTTTGCTGTGGCCCTCGCTGCCATGCTCATGTTGGAGTGGTACCAGATCTACCTCTTTCCCTGCTTCAGTTACTCTCACATGTTCAGTTAAGCCCTCAGTTGTCAACAATCTGAACACCTCCCTTACTTCTCTTTATTGCTTCTTTTCTCCCCTTTCGCTTTTGCATCGAGTACCTTTGTTGACTTGGCGATTACAATCCTACCTTGCACTCCAGTCAATGACACTGCTGTGCCCTTCCATCTTCCGTGTGCTTGCTGCTTGAAGGCTGCTTTCCATTTATTTTCTCTGCTGTACGCAGCCACATCTCAACTTGCATTTATTTGACACCAATGCAGTGGTCCTCCCTCAGTTCCACGGGTGGTGGTGTAAGAAGACAGGCAGGAGACTGGAACTGCAGCTCACAACTTTATGGCTCTTTTAGAGCGAATACAGAATACAGGGGTATAATTGTTAGTCAGAAAAGGAGAGGAAAGTGGCAAAGGGGTACAGAGAACTGCTCTGCTAGGGCACTGGTGCAAGAATATGGGTTAGAGGTGTTGTAACAGAAGAAATAAGGTTCTTGATCCCAAGATGAAGTAAAACAGATGAGTTTATTGCATGCAAGGAACAATAAAGCCGAAGTCTTGTTTCCCGCAAGAAACAACAAAACCAAAGTATTGTTCCCCGTACTGGTACAAACTTTTGGGTTATATAGTGTCTTTTTCTCCGTTTCTGACGTCAC